ATTGAGTTGATTTTATCAGAAAAGTGTCAATCATAAATTTGTCTTGGAAATTCAAAGATCATCAAGTCTATTTGCTTTAGAGTTAAAGAAAAGTTGAAGTGTTTACAAAAAGTCGGTGTTTTTTTCTGTTCCCTTGAGTTCATTGGCTCTTTTCCAACTGTCTGTTGGCTATTTTCGTGATTTGATTATTGTTCCGACTTTCGAAGAAAACGGAATATTTATGCTTGGTGTTTTTTTATTCTGTCAGTTTTCGGCAATCGAAGTAGTTTTCAACAATTTTTTTTATCGCTCATTGGAGATATCGACTCTCTGAAATCAAATTTAAAAAAGATATTTGACCTCCGATCATTAATATCCTTAGCAACCTGCTCGATATGCAGGCCAACATATCTAAAATCAAAATCATTATCACTCCCAAATGCGAATATTGCCTTCAATTGAGAAATAACGGTATCCTCGAAAGATTGGTCCTCCGCGCGGAGCAGGTCATCAACGTGGGAGACTAGCATGCCATTCGGCTCTCGTAACTTATTGTTACAGTCTTCATTCGTGAAAAAAATGAACATAGCTGGATCCAGTTGGAATTTCTGACTGCCGAGCTTCAAGAGCTCGTTTGTGAAAGCTATGGAAAACCCACGTGAAGCGTCACAGAGTCCATACACCCGCCGTTTCAGCTGCCACAGAGTCCCTGGAAATCTCCGCTCCTTCGGTGGCTGAACTATGACGTTACGCTCAATTGGCGCAGATTGGAGAAATGCCCTTGTGACATCACTGGACTTGATTGTTCAGTCGTTTTTGAGCAGCTACTGCTAACAACATGCGGATATTTCCTTTCCACAGAGTCGGGGAATCTTTCGCAAACAAGGATGAGTCCTCAAGATCATCCCGAATTGTCAATCTGGCTTTGGTGATAACTTTTCGGTCCTGTTGACAACCCAATTAGTGCATAGTCGCGTCTGGCCAACGTCCGATACTTCGTCGTGAACGCCAAATCTGTCAAAGTTAGCTAATTCAGCCTCTTTTGCTTCTTTGACTGCGACAGTTCCATGAAGCCAGCGTGGAACATTGACCGCAACGGTGTCAGTGCATGGCAGATTTTCTGGTCTCTGCAGTTGGTTTACCAGCTCTAAATTCTCGGGAAGAAAGTGACCTGTGCCAGGATCAGTCAAGTTCCACCAATAACGATATACTCCGGTTTTCTTACCCGATCGTCTCAGAACTTTGGCTGTGATGAATTCATTTGAATTTCCATGTTTGAATCGGATCAAATCGAATTTTTAAATGTTTTCTGCATTCAATGAAGAAAAATCAACACAGAAAAATCATCAACAGTATTGAAACCACAGACTCTGCTGGTGTTTCAGACGCTTCATTAGTCGGTTTTAAAGAGAACGGAATCTTTGATTGAATCGCAACTGACATTAGGTAAATCACTCGAACTTGGATTATCGAAATCATCACTCAATGCTTCTGTTAACGGGTCAGAGGTTACAGTTCTTGTTTCTTGATTGCTTTCAATATCAGAAACACGGTTTTCTGTAGCTGTCTTATCGGTAGATGTTTCCGCAGGCTCGTTTCTTACGCTAAAAACGCCGTCAGCCTTTGTTAACATAACATGGTCAGAATTTATTGTCAGAAGCTTGTTTGCACGCTCTGAATATAGTAGTTTACCATATTTTGAGTGAATTTTAACGGGACCTTCCCATTTACTTGAATTTTTGTAATAAATCCAGTCTCCAACGCTGATATCTCCAGCGCCTTTGAAAAAACGTTGCTTCAGAGCGGATTTGAGACTACGGTCAGATTCGGATTCAATGAACGCTTCTTTAGATCTGTGCATGGTATCAATATGCTGGGCCAGTGATTTTGGTACTGAGACCTCTTCGAGGCCTGGAGGACCCGCTAAGAGAAGTGTGGGCAACTTTGGATTCCGCCCAAAAATTATTTGTGCAGAAGAGAACCCGTTCACGTTCTGGAGGGTGTTTTTAGCGTTAATACACCAAGCTACTGCGACTTTTGATTTCATATCCGGATCAGATATTAACATTTTGATCATCATTCTGTCGACCACGGCATGATTACGCTCGTTGCACCCATTGGCATTCGAAATGTATGCTGCTGTAGATGTCTGCTTGATTTGGAGGTAGTCTGCAATAGACGTCAGTTCTTCATTGCAGAATTCTCGTCCTCTATCAGTATGGAGTGTTTTCATTGGCCCTAGACCGGCTTGGGATATCCAACAACGCAAGAGGGTTTCACCAACTGTTACCGCATCTTTCTTGTTGATGAATATAGCCACGGTGAGCCTCGAAAACAGATCTACAGCATAAGGAATGTAGGCATATTTTCATTCGCTGTCATAAACTTTCAGGTTCAAACTGACTAGTTCGTTAAATTCAGTAACACGAGGGAGGGCAATTTTTGGTTTCGGCTTCTTGTTAGCGTTAACCCGACAACTCTCGCAACCACGAATTTTCTCAAGAAAACCCTTTGCCTCAGTACTCAATTTTCCAGCGTTTTTGAGCAGTCTCGAAAGCGACTGATGCATGTCCAAAATAGTGGTGTAGACGCCATATTTCTTTCTCCGTGTACTCGCCAGTAGTTGCAACTAATGTAACTGCAGTTTCTGGTGAATCCTGCGATAGAGGCGATATTTCTATGCTGAAATGGACTGATGACTCTTCTGACAACTCCATTTCATTGCCGAAAATTGCAAACTTCCGCAGAACGACATCAATAACAGCGCATGCCAACTTCAGAGAACAATTGCCTAGAAGTGGCAAATCCTCTTCGATGATTTCTGTTCTCAATTTGAGCAAACGGCCGCCAATGACGCACGGGAACTTCACACTGTACTTCGAGTGACGCACTTCTCCGCCTCCAAAGCGAGTATCATACCTTTCGATATTCTGCTTCTGATCATAACTCAAACACGAGAGAAAATCACGAATCCATTTCATTCCCACTTATGTAGTTGGACAAGCAAAATCTAGAATCATTCTGAATTTTTTTCCGGAAGTAAAGTAGCGCGTCTCAGAAAATTTCCAAGAAACCAGGCGAAGAGGAAGGGCAAAGTTCATCGGGAGCCTGGAAACACTCAATATCAGCAATATTGACAGACATAAATAATCAAAGATCAGATCTAGCATCACTTGATAACGAGGTGATTTTGTTATCATTCTTCTGGTAACTTGAATTTTTGTACTCGCTGTTTTTCTTGTACGGGCATTGATCTGCCAATTAATAAACACATGGGCACGTACAGGTCGTCGTGTGCTCACATTTACAAGCAAACCACTTTATTGGTTTTCCGTCTCTTCCAAACGTATTCTTCTTTTCAAGATACTTTTTCCCCTGATCAGAACGTTTTGTGGGTGAATGACTACGTTTCAGTGGCTTCTTCCAGCCGTTTGCAACTAACGTATTTTCCATTTCTCGACTGATAAAAGTTAATTCCGTTTTGATGACTTGCTGCGAATCCACCGAGCTATTATCCGTAAATACAGCAATTTTTCCTTTGAACTTCTTGAAAGAGGCCTTCATCTGCTCAAGTAGTTCACCCTGTGTTTTACCAGTTTTATAGTCCACTCCGGTTAGAACGAGCTGTATCTCTCTTCCTTCTAACTGAGCAGCTTCCAGGAGCTCAAAACCAAGAACGATATCTGGAAATTCACAACCAGCATTTTTGCACTTGTAATAAAGTGTTCCCACTCAGCGACGATTTCGTTCATTTGCTCATTTGTTGAGCGCTTTTTGTTTTTGAAAGCGACATATTTCAGATATGCATCACTGATATCGTCATCGCCCTAAATAGTACTCAGAAACTGAAGTAACAACTAGATATCATCCTTGTTTTCAACAAATTCGTCGCCGAGCTTTATCGATCTTTTCTTTGATACGAGACGGATAATCTTGCAACATATAAATTACTGTTTCTGCCTGCAGTTTGGGCTTGATTGACGTCAATCTTGACCATCTCTCCAGATCTCGTTTGTATTCAGAAAACTTCTGGTTTTCTGAGATGAATGATAGTGGTTCCAAATGCCTTGTCGCTATTCTGCTACCATTGACTGATTAAAACACTTTTAGATAAGAATAGTTGATATTAACAAACAACCACCACCTTACATCTGTAACAATTATCGTATTAAGCAAATCGTCTGCACCTGAATTGAGACAAGTTATTTGGTCGTATTAATTTCGTATGACTCAAATTTTTACAGTAGATCTTTGATACTGTCCAGAATTTATTATTTCTCAATGTTTAGTTTTCCGACTTTTTTTCGACATGGATTAAGGGGCAGTCGGAACATTCAGGGCTTTGCCCTGAAATACGAGCTGTCTTGTTCTCAATTAGTTTAATTTAGGACATATAACGCGCGATATTGTTCGTCCTATCAAAGCGTTTGTGGCGAAATAAATATTCCAAAAAAAAAGAGACAGGCTATTTTGTTACGTTACCAGCCGCGAAATTTATCATTTTGTAATTTACATAGCGTGCCGGGGGATAAGATGAAGAAAATAATTTTAAAGAAGGGATTCAGATTTTTTCAAACGCTGAATCGTTTTTTAATTAAGCATTGTTTTTTAATTTCTTTCATTGGGACGTTGAAGGAAGTAGGAACATTTTGGGCTTTCTAAAACGATAAAGTAAATTAAACACTCACCCAGTGGGACGTTAAAGGGCAGTCGGAAAAGTGTTAAAATTTTGAAGTTTGAGCATATGAAGTTCCAGCAGCTATTTTAGCTTGTTTGATAAAAATGTAACGTGTATGCCCGCTCGGGATGGTAAAAGTCAGTGACGGAACTGGGACCAGGAATTGAACTTTAGGAATATAATTTTTTTTCTGTTTTCGTTAAATCAAAAATATTTTTTGTTCTAGTAATATTGAACTTTTTTATCGATTTTTTCAATTCATTTGCGAAACCGAAAAATTATTTTACGCGCTTTGAATTTAAGGGGAGATCATTGGTAGTTAGTATCAAGTTTGCTTGTTTAGAGGTACCCGAAGAAAGCAGTGTTAAGAGTTCAAATCCAAATGGAACCGAACCAGTAGCGAAACGGGGTCGCAAACCAAAACACAAGCAGACAGTTAATTCAGATTCAGAGGCTGAACCAGAAAATCTTCCTTCAAAGCTGAAAAGAACGACTCTCAGCTCAACAGGAAACGAAAGCAATGATTCAATGGTGACAGCTTCGAGTAGTCTAGTTGCGGTCGAGTCTTCGCCTGGAGTTCCACCGAAAAAGCTCGCCAAGAAGTCTGCAGCTAAAAATAAAGCTATCGAAAAACTAACTGATGTGAACGATCGCCAGTGTCAAACTTCGCCCTGGCTGTACGAGGAGTTTAGAGCTGAACGAAGAAAGCGTCGACGACAGGCTTACCACGAATGATTAATTTAGCAGCAGCAGACACTTTCAGTTCAAAAGCATCTAAGAGTCGCAGTTGTGTTTGAAGTCTAATTAAATCTCTGAAGGCTAAATGAACTATTGTCCAGATGGGCCTCTAACTGAGTATTATGTCAAAACCGACTGTTTGATTTGTTCTTGAGTTTTCCTATAAATTCAATTTCTGTAATCAAATAGCCCACTCTTGTTGTTCTTCTTTGTTTTTAATTTATTTTTTTCTCAAATTTTTTCTTAGTGGCATTTTACAGTTTCTATAAATAGTTGAAAATAGGCGCAGTAAAGTAGGCTATTGGGTCCGTCAATTAGGTTTTGATCGAGATTGGCTGCGGTGAAATTTAATTTAAACTTAACCAAAAGTTTAGTAAAATAGACCGGCAGGTGTGAAAAGTTATCGGCTAAAATTAGTATAATGAAAACTGAAGTACATAATTGGCAGTTATAACGATGGGGCAGATTGGATTCATGCCACGTTGACCAGGCCTGTCATAAAAGTTAATTTTGCCACCAATCTGGACAAAAATTGTAAAATGAAGCCAAACCAAAATCAGTTGTTTGTTGATTAGAATTGGTTACTTCCTACCCTCAGATCTAAATAGAAAAAAAATAAATAATTTCGCACCCTCAGAAACTGTTTAGAACTACACGGAGAATGAATATCGGCTGCGGCTTTGTCGTCGTCTTCTTTTGTCTCTCGTGCTTGAAAGGTGAGTGAAAGTGGCTGAAATTGTTGATGGAAACCATTGGAATGCTCGAAAATGGAGAAATAGAGCATCCGATGTTTCATTTTGAAGAAATCTTGCTTATTGCACAAAATCTGAAAAATCAAAGAGCAGTATCAGCTGTAAAATAACAGATCTGCGACGTAAAACGAGGTCCTACTGTGCGGGTAGAAGCTAATGTTTCGAACGCTTTTTCTAGCATTGAAATAAAAAAAATAGCTAATATATTGCGGCGTATGTTTAAATTTCGCTTTTAGTTAAAAGTAATGAACGTAGTGAAAACTCCTAAAAGAAAACAAATTAGCAAGACCTTTATGTTTTTTTTTCAGGAAAAAAGTCTTAAAATATTGATAAACTTAGGTATGTATGCACATTTTGAGTTCAATTGAAATTCATTTGCTCAAAGTGACGTAAATACAGTGCTGATTTAAATTAACCGGACAAAACGCGTTAAACTTGAAATTTAACTTTAAAACTTGAAATTGAGTTTGCCGAGATGAGGCTGAGCCTTAAAATTGATTCTGAAAGCAAAAAAGGAAGAGTTTGAAAGATTTAAGGGAACCCAAGGTAGTTTAAGTCCAATTTTTGCAGCGTGAATCATTAAAGTTGCGCACATTTTAGACCGAGGCTCTCATTTTTCCAAAGTGGCTTTTAAAAGTTAATCGAAAGTTACGCCGAAAATACCCAGTTGATCACAGACATAATTATTTTAAAGTGAGCCCCTTACATAGCCCAACAAACTTTAAAAAGGGTATAATCTCCAAAATATTGTATATGTTAATTTATTTTTGTGTGATAGACAAAAAAGGTTGTTTTTAGTATATAAAATACCAACTTTTTATTTAAAAACAATTTGCAATTTTTTTTGGAGATTATACCCTTCTTAAAGTTTGTTGGGCTACGTAAGGGGCTCACTTTAATATAATTATGTCTGTGATTGACTGGGTATTTTCGGCGTAATTTTTGATTAACTAAGAAAAGCCAAAATGACCCATTTTTTGGGTAAAATTTTGGGCCCGAATTTTGCAAAACAAATTTCACCATATTAATTCTGCTAAAATTTTAAGCAAGTTTTGTCTTCATAAGTTTTCACCTAAACTCAACCCAATTTGAGAAAAACGGGTTTTAATTTTCAAGTTTAACGCGTTTTGTACGGTTAATTTAAATCAGCACTGTAGCACTCTTCAAATACGAACATGCAAATGGCGCTAAAAACAAGAATGATTTCTAGTTTTGAAAGTGGAATTTACTTTGTAGGTTTGCAGCGGGATAAAAACTACCTGTTGATCCATTTTTCTCAAATTAGGTTAATGTTATCAAAAAAGCGCCAATCATAAATCGTTCTAGAATTTCAAAGCGCCTAATTTGGAAGTTTGGATTTTCAGGCTGTAAACTTTTCCAAATCTCTGTGCTAAATTGTAAAAAGACGTGCAAACGTGTCATTGGTTGAGTTTGCCGAGATGAGGCTGAGCCTTAAAATTGATTCTGAAAAGCAAAAAAGGAAGAGTTTGAAAGATCTAAGGGAACCCAAGGTAGTTTAAGTCCAATTTTTGCAGCGTGAATCATTAAAGTTGCGCACATTTTAGACCGAGGCTCTCATTTTTCCAATTGCCCAGTAGTTTGATGTTGCAACCACTATTTTGTTTTCTCCTGCCGAATTTTCACTTAATATTAAGCGCCACTATGATGAGGATTGTCAATTTGAATATAAATTCTATTCTTTCATTCGCGATTCGCTCAAAGTCTGAAACTTTCAAATAAACTTTTGTGTCGAAAACAGTGGTTAGAAGACTTAGCTTTTTAGAGCAAATAGTGATATTTTATCGCTGTTCTGTTAATTTCCCAAAAAAATCTAATTTATTTTAAACAGTTTAATTTTTATTAGTTAATAAAATATGTTAATAACTAGTTCTTAAAGCATTCTTATTGATCGCTCCGCATCAAAAATATAAGTATCTGACAAATAGAATAAAAAGTTGGTTGAAAATACTTGTTAATCGAAATTTTTCTGCCAATAAACAAACACTAGGTGCCCTAATATAGTCCAACTTCGTTTGCGAAATAGAACGAATTCGTATTTTAAAGAACAGTAAAATTGCAAGCATGAATCATGGTACTAAATGCAGTGAAAGTGATTTTGTTACAACTTTGGAAAAAGTTGTCCGACTGCACCTGCTCGCTGCAGTTTTTCTCAAAACAGATTCCTACTTTCTAAGTAACTGCTCGAAATTAATTTTTTTTGTTTTAGCTGCGATCTTTTTTTCACATTAAGTTTGGGGGTTTGAAAAACAATTCGGCAATTCTAGATTTTAAATAAGAAAATCATTGCAATTTGAAACAAAACAAAAACCTTAGTCCAAATAATGCTTTAATAGATCCAAAAAAGCCTCTGTAACCTTAAATGCGTACACGTGAACAGTTAACCTCAACTTACATGCCCTTTCTATTTGGTCTAGTGGTAAAGTGCGTGTCCTGTGAACCGATGGTTTGGTTAAAGGGTAAAATTGCTGTAACGCGATTTGCGAAACCTGCTCATTTTCGTTTGCAAATCGATCAATATTCAAGTTTCGAAAAAAATTTTTGTCAAAAAAGTGGAGTTAGAAAAAGTGGTATTTTAGAGTCTTTCCTAATAATCAAAAGTGAAGCTGTGCCACAGTTAATTTTGACTAATAAAGCTTTAATCTTCTTTTTTATTCTAGACCTCAGTTAAAACCAAATAGGATTTTTGCACTTGCCAGGTTACTTCATCACACCTATTTAGCGCGAAGAAAACATTTGAACAAGACTTTTCTCGGTGAAGCATTGAATTCATCGACTGCCCTTTATCGTGTCTGAGGCAGCAATACACTCAAAACACATATTATTGCAAACTACTGGGCAAAAAATAAGCCCTGACCTGAACTTTAAAACCATATTTAAACTGCAACCGGTTTTTTACGCTCGCGATTAGCATACGTTATCAAATCGGAATATAGATTTTTTTCGGGATAACTATTATTTGATTAAAATCAGTTGAATCACCTGACACTATGCTGCTGATTATTCTCATATGCTGCCGATATGCTCGATTTCATGAAAATTCAAATGTAACTACTGAGTGCATTGTTTGTTACCAGGAGTTTTTCAGAAAAAAAATTGATTTTTTGTCGACTTCATGGATTTAATCAAAACTTTCGTCGGTTTACTTGCCGGATGTATTAAATTTCTAAATAATTTGTTTATTCAATTGTTTTCCTTCGCGATAGTATTGCAATCGGGTACTGGACTTTTATTTTTTCTTTTTTTTTGTCTTTTTTATCGACTTAAAAAATTAACGCCCAATTGATATCAACCAAATGGCCTCTTATTAAGTCATTACTTTCGAAAAAAGTTTTCGAGAGCGTGTGTGTGCTCTGAGAGGAAATTTTGAATAAGCTTGGAATTTTTTTGAATTTCTTTTCGACATGCAGGGTTTTGCTCAGGTTTTCTCGGCTTTGTTACCGCTTGGTAATTATAAGTTCAAATCCAATCAATTATCCGGCTCTTCTGGCTAAGAGGTGAAACAACTGCTTGAGACGGCAAAAACTTGCGGTTCAAATCCGGCTGGGTCATTTTTTGCGAACTAAAATTTTTGTGTTTTTTCGGACTAACGTCAGTCTGTATATTTTGTCGGTTAGTTTCCGCAGCTCAATGATTTAGCTTTATTCCAAGTTCCTGTAACCCCCATGCTTGAGACGACAAAGTACGGGAGTTCGACTCCAGTTCAGTTAAGACCTATTTTTTTGCTAATAGAGAATTTTGGCTATATAGATGATTGTCTGTCTGCTTATTTTTGTCTGCTTAGTTCCGCAGAAATTATATTTTTTTAAAACTTGAATTTGAATTCTCTATAGCATTCCCGAAACTCTTTATAGAATTTCTGATGGTGCAGGAAAATTTGTTCCGGATATTTTGGGTTTTTGTTGCAGTTTTTTTTACAAAAACAATTTTAAATTTTTTTTCCGTTCGATTTTCATAGTCATTTATATTTGTATCGCAAGTGGTGCGAAGCTCAGCTTCACCTCTGTGTACAAAAATGATTCAACTTGCGTTATAATACATTCAATTAAAAATGGCCGCTTAGCGCATCTGGTGTAGAGGTAATACATAAGCTTAAGACGACGAAGACCTAGGGTTTTATACTGGCCGAGATCACTTTTTTCTAAACTAGAAAATTTCTGTTTTTTTTTTCTGGCTACCGTCCGTCTGTTTCATTTTGTCAGTTTGATTCCATATAACAAGCTCTTTTTTCTAGACAGAGCTTTTTGTCTTTATGAATACCACTAATAGAAGTACTTGAGTCCCAAAAACTTGTTTGCTGAATTTTAAATGCTTTTTTTTTTGAAAATTTCTCTGAATTTTAGCTTCGTGGTTCAATCTGCACGGAATTTTTACATATGACGTTATTAACGGGTTTACTTCTAACATCAATAGGAGTCAGACTTTTTTGTTCGAATGCTCGTCGAAACCAACTTCAAAAGAAACTGTGTGAAAACGAATGTAAATAATCTTGAAAAAAAAAATTTTTTTTTCAATTTTTTTTTATTTTTCTGTTCTGTTATCATTTTTATTGTTCGAAGTTATCTTTGCTTCTTCATGAGAGTCATGCGGTTTTAATCTTGTTGTATCGCGAGTGATTCGAATCTCAGTTTTCAATTTCACCTCTGTGTGTAAATTTTCAATCAGTTTTCGTAAAAGGTATTGAAAATTGGCTATTAGCAAAAAATATATTTTTATATTAAATGCATAGCGTGCTAAACTAAATTATGTACTATTAAGCAAAAATCTCTGACTTATTTGAGCGCGACGAATTACTTCAAATTTTTCATGTCGTCTTGGCAACATGAAATCGCAAAGCATTGCCTGCCGAATGACCTCTCGATGAACTTTGTCTCAGTGATAATATAAGGCTGAGCATTTTTTTTCTAATGTTTTTTTCTGAAATTGAAATCAGTGGAGTCATACAATTGAAATTTTGCCAAATGCGTTACCTGTAAGTAGCTCCGTTTTGCCTATGTGTGAACAGCTACTTCAGACAATAAAGGGCATTCGGTACATTCAAAGCTTCACCAAGCAAAATCTAACCGAACTCAAGTTTTTTGTTGGTTGAGTTTGAACTAAGAATCGAATCTAGAAAAAAAAGAGTAGATTTGCGCGTATTTTTTTTCTCTTAAGAACAAATATGTTTCAAATCTTTTGATTAAAAACATTTTCAAAATAAACTAAATGTATATGATATCGAAAATTATCAACAGTGAATATTTTCTTAAACTCTTTGTTTTTTACTTGAATAGATATTTTAAGTTGATACAAGGAGACAGTTTCAATTATTTTCCCAAAAATTTTGACGTTGTGTGTCTCTACAGCGCTAAATATGCAGTCAAAAAAGTTTAAACAAATTTTTAACTTGTTCCTGGCAAACCGAGTCAAATATTGAGAAAAAGAGACCCTGAAAAAAAGCTTGGAGTTTCATCACAAATATCTGGTGACACTGTATTTTCTTTTAAAAAATCTATTTTTTTTTGAGATTTGGTCACATTTTAAAATACGCCAAAAATCAGCTATTTCAAAAAAAATATTAAGATGGACTTCTTTTTTGCTTTACAATTTTCAAATGTATGAAAAGTGCTTGTCAAACTAACAAAACAAATAACAAATATTTATAGCTCTAATAGCCAAAAACTATGTATTTAATGCTAAAACAAGGATAGCTGGTTGTTGTGCCAGTAGTGCCGATTGTTCCGACCATGTTCATTGAAAAAACTAAAAAAATTTATAGATTTCTTTTTTCAAATTTGTGACGTTTTTAGCGCGTGATGTGATTTAAAAAATATATTGACGCGTAGAAACTTAACGAATTCGACATAACTCACAACAAGAATGTCAAATAAAAATTTAGGGGAAACAAAACAAAAAATTCTCATAGTTTTCGAATTTGTTGCTCGACATTTTTTTGTGTTTTTAAGAAAACCTTTTTTTCCAAGGAAGCACTAAATTAAACATTGAATATAATTTTTTTATTAAGACTCAAATTTGCTTGGCCTTAAGTCTAAATCAAGTGATTTTTTTAAACAAGCCTTGCTCGATTGCTTCACTCACAAAACTTTCACTGAACTGCAAATCAAACCTTTTGAAGTAATTTTTCGGCAAACTGGGACAATTTTTAATAATATCGTTTGATTAGTGAATGAAGGTGCTTTGTTTTGGTATATCACTCGACCCAGTTTTGATGATTTGTGGTCCCTGGTTTCGCGTGGAAAAAAACTGAATCACAACAAAATACAAAGTCCCTGCCCATTTTCAATCCATTTTCGTTTTAGGGCTAAGTAGTTGTGCAAGTTTTGAATATAACTAAATTAAATTCAAAGTTTTTGAAAGATTTGCTTACAAATTTCTGAGTATAATTTTCTGAGCGCAACCTGAAAAAAATGAACTGCAACTGGTTTTTGTAAACTTTTCATCGGTTTTGATCAAAATTGGCTTTAGGGCAGCTTGCTGGGCTAAATTATATTTTTGCAATTATCTATGAGTTTCAAAACGTAAGCATGACTAACTCGAGCGCGACAAATTCATCAGAACTTTAAAATGCTAATGTCATTTTCGCAAAGTTAATGTACTTTCAAATAATTTGTATTAAAAGTGTTCCTTGCTAGGGAACGATGTTTTTCGTTACTTGGTATTTTTTGAAGGTTATAGTTAAAGTTTATTTCTTTTTCTCAAAACTGCTCATATATAGAGACAATTAGAGTCCTTCATTAAAAAAACAGTTTTCACTGTTTGTATCTAGCAAAATTTAAATTATCCCTAATGAAATTCCATGGGTAATAAATCGACTATAATGGATTTCATGGTGTCTCCAAAAAAATCTAAAATAGTCGACTATAATGGATTATCAATCGATTATAAAACAAATAAAGTGGAAACCAATTCAACCCATTATAATGGAATATAATTGGTTATGATGGATCATAATGGATTATTAAAAATTCAAATGGTTATAATAGATTTTATGAGTAAAAACCTAGATTTTCCAAAAACTTGGAATAAATATTCAAAGCTGGAACAGTGCAATTGATAAATAGTGTTTTGATTTGGGCTTCGGCAAAAAAATATTTTGTTTTCTGCTTGTCTTTTTTCGCGACTTGTCACCCCTCCCCCTAAAATCATACACTAATTTCCACCAGTCTTACTTTTTTTTACCATCACCTCCCCTCCCCCACTTTATCCCATATTTTCCTTAGCCAAAAAAAATACGTAAAAAATACCGTAAACGCATGCCCCTACCCTAGCCCCCTCCCACATACACACCTTTATTCCCCTAAGGACTTTTAGGCCCCCCATACTTACGGGGGGGTGTCAAGTAGTTGTGGGAGGGAGAGGGTGGACGTGGGGATAGGGTAGTTGGGGGGGGGGGGGTGGTTAGGTGGGGGTAGGTTGATAGGCGGAGGTGGCGTAGGTAGGTGGCCAGATAAGTATGGGAGGTGTATTTTTCGGCGTGTTCAACTTGGTTGTTCAAATTGAGAAGACCTGTGCTTAAAATGTGAGGGACATGGTTTTGCAAAAATTAATAAAATGCGAGTTGGTTTAGAAATCGAGTAGGCTGAGTGAGTAATGCAGAAAAAGCTGCAAATTTTGCGGAAAATTTGGAAGAAATTTATAAAGATTATAAGTTATAACCAATTAGAGTCAATTATAATGGATTTTAAATGGATTACAATCGATTTAATTTCTCTAAAAACAATGGAAATTAATGAATTGTAATGGGTCCCAAACTGTGATTATAATCAATTATAATGGCATTATTTTTGACCACGAAAATCGATTTCAATCGATTAATATTCTTGGAGCTTCACTGCGGGTAATTACAGTCTCCATATTTTTTGTCTTAGATAAACCCATTTTGATTTAGAAAAAAAAACAATTTCAAAGACTCCATTTGTGTTTACTTTAATTTTTTTTGTCTGACACTGAACCGTTTTATTCTGCAATTTAGCTAATTGTTCAACTAGGAACCTAAGTCGACGTACGTCTGCGATTGATTTTTTGTCTTTGACTGTTGCGCCAATGTTAATTTCGCGTCCGAAAGTTCTAGGCCTTTATAGACACAAACAAAGACTGAAAATATCGTATTATGGTCGCTTAGTCGCGACATGTTCGAAAATTATGTCGCGACATAGTCCAAAAAATAGTCGAGACAGATTTCTAAATTTAGCAATTGAAGCTTAAAACATGAATCAGAGGCTAATATGCTTGAATTTATTGGTCTCTTCTGATGTAATGATGTAATACGTAATGCGACAACTCCCGATATAAAACAACAAACAATAAAAAACAACTCGCATAAAAAGACAATTCGTGTTGCGAGATTGCCAACACAGGGTAGGATTTAGATTACAGTTTACGTTTATGTTGAACAAAAAGCATTGTCAAACCTTAGTTATATTTCTATCTTTGAAATGTAGACAATAGCTGGGTTGAGGCATCGGAAGACGATGTTGACAGGGACAGGGATGAAGGGCTCACTTCTTTAGACAGCGAACCACCAGTTCAGATCAGCGAGTAAGTAAATAAACTTTCCGTAAGGAGGAATGCGTCATTGAGGAAAGTTATATCAGCCAATAAGTGCTCAGTATAAAAATTTGAAAAAAGAGTCAAAGCTTGAGCGATCTTAAGGTTTTGATTGACTGGAAACTTTCATAAAGTTTCAGTTATTGTTCTGAAATGATTTGGTATGAGCCTAAGTGGTATGAACAGAAGGTGGGCACGCAAAACCACGATACAAGAAACCCAAACATTTTGGGTCTATTTGTTGCAAAGGCCAATTAAATTTTCATCTTGGGTTATGGGTGTTTCAACTCTTACAATACACAGAGACGGAAGTTTATGCTGTCTTTTAATTTCAGTCAGGATGCGGATCCCAAGAGAAACGAAGCTGGGTGGATTCATGGGAAAAGGCGAGGCGGGTAAGTTTTTTTTTATACAAAAGTAAAAAAAAATAATAATCATAAGGCAGTTTATCCACGAACAAAATGATCAAATTATGAGCTGTTTGGCCTTTTACGGACAACAGCTCTTTTTCCCTTGAAAACTTCCTGCAGTAAGTTTTTTGGCGCCGGCTTGTTTATCCCCAGCAGCTCAAAACTTTATTTATCTGCTTCAATTGAAAGAAACTCCAATTGGCTCAACGGACTTTAAAGCTCAACAGACGTTTTTTTTTCCGTTTTTCCCCCGATTTTTCGATGTCTTCTATCATTTTACGCTTCGCTTCTGATTAATTAGTGTCATGAATCGGAATTTCTATTTTTTCATGCAAACAACTTGTCTGGCAATTTCACAGAATCCTGTCATAATTTTTGTTTCTAATCAATTTGAGTTGATTCTGCCCAATTGTATTATTTGTATAACTGATTCTGCGTAATTGATTCTGCCCCTTTGTTTTATTTTAAGATATCCATTTTTGGTGACGGACCCTTCAAATTTTATAAATGCGCCTTGCAAATATATACTAATTTTGAGGGGGGAGTGCCCGCCAAAAAAAACGCGATTTTTCGGTCAACATTTTCCAAAAAGTGCCTTAAGACGCCCTTTTTGGCCTGCTTTTCAAATTTTAAGAGCTCGGGCAATCAATTTGGTCGACCTAAAATGTCGATAATAATTTCGAATTATTTTTAAAAGTCCGCTCCCTTCGAGAAAATCCTAGATCTGCCCCTGACACTATGAACATCCTGTGCTTCTTGCACGATAACCAGCTATCCTTGTTTTTTCTGTTTTTTTTTGCATGAAGAAGGTTGAGTTTAATGAGTACCCTCCAATAACTTACTACTCTATGAGCAGATTCTGTGATTTAAAAAGCTGAAGTATGCATTTAAGAAAGTTTGAATAGACATATGGTTTCACGGCTTAAGCTCAAACTAAGCGCATATCTTTCTTGTATATCCACAATAAAAAAAGGGAATGGTTCCAACAATCAAATTTTTCTAAAATACCATTTTATTTGATTTCCAACGATTACTTCACATAGTAAATTTTTTGTGTTGTAGATTACTTAATTTTTTTTATCCAACTTTCGAACAAAATGACGAAAAATTTACGCTGGGGGGAAGGGGGTTGGTTTTTTTTATTCATTCAATTTTCCTGAGTAAGAGTTTTTGACGGTTAATTTTGTATATCATCTGAAAAATATGGCTGTTCGAAGCTCTCATGTAAAAAATTAAACCTATGATTTTTTTTCATATATTTATGGGCGTTTGAAAATTGCTTATTTGGTCAATTTGGGATAATGAACGCGAGATATACATCGATTCGAAATGAGGCATGTCATTTGATCTTATAATTAGGATGCAATACGCTAAAAGAGTCACTTTGTTCTTTACAGTATTTTTGGGACAACAAAATGAAGAAAAATGTTTACAAAATCTTAAACTTCGAAAAAAATCTTAAAAAAACTTTGAAAAAAATCTTAAACTTTGAAAGATGACCTAAAAGTACAAAAGGAACATTCAGGTCTTCATCTTGAAATACCAGCAATCTTGATTTATTTTGCATTGACTATTTTTGTTTCGCAAGTGATGCAAAACTCCACTTTGCACCTGTGTTTGATTTCGAAATAAAATATTAACTTCTCGGATTTGAAAAATGACAGATTTAGTTCATGGCAGAACAATATCATGGGTGCTGTTGGAAAAAGGGAAATGGAGGAAATGAAAAGGAATGATCAATTTAGAAATGAACAACCGAAGAGAAACGAAGCAGGCTTGATCCATGGCAGGAAAAGAAGCGAGTTAGTGTTAATTCCATGTTTCAAGAAAAATATAAAATTGCTTAGCTTTTTAGTAGCTAGTTTGGTCTTTGGCTTAGATTCAGAGAAAAAAAAATTCCAAAAGATATTCACTGATTAATTTTTTCTAAAGCGAGTAAAAATTTTTATAGCAAATGTCCTTTATAAGTTCAAATAAAAATTCAAAAATTTACCGGATTTTATAAATCGGGTCTGCATGAAAAGGAAAATTTAAGAACTCAAATGTAATGGTTGATTTAGAAATGAACTGCCAAAGAGAAACCATGCAGGTTGGATCCACAAGACAGCAAGGCGGTAAGTGATAGAGCCTCTAGTTTTGCTTCAGAAAATAAAAAGCTAAAAATTCACAAGAATTTTTTACTAATTAGTTTTTGTTTTAGAGCGATTTTTCATAAATAACTGTCATTCATAACTTCATATAAATGGACCTGCTTTATTGAGTCTAAAAAGGTCAAAAAACTTTATCGGACATTATAAATCGTGCCTGTGAAAAGAGTGAAATGGAGTAATTTAAATAAAATGTTCGATTTAGACATCGGCCGCCGAAGAGAAACGGAGCTGGTCTGATCTATGGCACGAAAAAAGCGGGTAAGTGTTACTACCATATTCTACCATAAAAAATCTTTGGCATTTCAAAAGCTAAGTTTTACTCTAATTTATTTCAAAAAAAAATGTTGGAGTAAAACCTAGCTCTTGAAATGCCAAATATATTTTTGGTAGAATATGGTAGCAACACTTACCCGCTTTTTTGCCATAGATCGCACCAGCTCCGTTGTTTTTCTTTTCGCTCCAGAAATAAAACTGCAAAACACATACTGACGGTTATTCTAAAACTGAATTTGATTTTTAACTGATTCATAATTGAATCAAGTCAATTCAGTAGGCTTTCAATAAGAGTAAGTAGGTAAATGGAGATCGTGATCATGGTTTCTGTGGTAACAAGACCACACTGAACTGAAACCAATTAATCAATAAATAAATCAAACACCGAAGAGAAGGTTATCCGGTTGGATATAAAAGGAGAAAAGAAGCGCGAAATTTTCAATCAAAAGAGTTTTCTGAATGATATTAAAAATTCCGTCAAATATTGCTAGTTAAAAAGTCGAAAATTGTTCGAAGAAAAAAAACCCACCCGAGCACAAATATTCCGTTACTTTCGTATCGAAAGTCGGAACAAAAATAAAATATCGCTAAATATATAATGGCTGGTTCCCTAAAAATGTATCAAAGATTTTTTAAATGTTAGCCATAACTTGAAATCATTCAAAACATTTATAATTAGTTCAATGCTGAACTGGATTAATTATAACAATGCTGAAATAACAATGGTGAAATAGAGATTATAATATTGTACTCGGCGGCATGCAAAAACACGGAGAGCGATTTTCAATCATGTTTAGTGTCCGAAGTGCGTTTTCTTTTTTTAAGAGCTCATCCCAACCTATTTGAAGAGATGGAGGCTGATACGAAAAGAGGAGGTGGACTGCTTGGCGAGCTGAAAAGATCTGAAGCAGCTTTGGGTGAAATGACACGAGAAGGGTAAAATAAACAGTTTGAGTTTCTCTTTTGAACTTAAGCTGAATTTCATATACAGCCCTGAACTATTTTTAAACAAGATAATCGATTTTCTTGAATCATTTAACCATTAGAATGGATTGTAAGGGAATCACATACACAGACACTTCTAACGACCCCTTCCATCCCCACACCCCTTCTACTTGCCACATTACTTTTTACACGCCTATGACTTTGCCATCCCCAAGATTTTAGCCCCTTTCCCACACAGTGAGAGGAAAGGTGGATGGAAAAGGCGCAAGATGAGTTAAACTTTGGAGAAGGGGAAAATTGATTGTGTGTTATGTTCAGTAACCAGGGTCCGACCTCCCTCCCCTGCGGAGAGAAGGAGGGGGGAGGGGTTGGCATTAGAGAGGGCAATAAACATACGAGGGAAAATGAGACAACGAGGGACCTAAATTGAATAAAGCAGGGTGTAGGAAAGGGTTAACAAAAACTTAGATTGGATTTTGAGGGACTTTATTTCATTGTTTCAAAGTATTCAACAACCAATTAACCTATTATAATCGTTGATAATCCATATTTGGCTTCTATCTAATTTATTGTTTTTTTTTCTTCGTAAAATCCTTGCAAATACGTTTTTTTCTATGAATATGAAATTCTAGCTCTACTTTTTGATGCATCCTCATGTTCAACCCCGCTTATCGATTCCCCCAATGTTCGGCATCGCCCACCATATACACAGACACTTCTCACAACCCCTTCCATCCCCACACCCCTTGTACTTGCCACATTACTTTTTACACGCCTTTTACTTTGCCATCCCCAAGATTTTAGCATCTTTCCCACATAGTGAGAGGAAAGGTGAATGGAAAAGGTCCAAGTTGAGTTAAACTTTGGAGAAGGTGAAAATTGGAAAATTGATTGTGTGTTATGTTCAGTAACCAGGGTCCGACCCCCCTCCCCAGCGGAGAGAAAGAGGGGGGAGGGATTGGCATTAGAGAGGGCGATAAACATACGAGGGAACAGAAGGACCTAAATTGAATAAAGCAGGGTGTAGGAAAAGGTTAGCGAAACTTAGAATGGATTGTAGGGGATTTTCATTCGATTATTTCACGTTATTTATAAACTAATTAATCCATTATAAGCGATGATAACCCATATTTGGCTTCTAGCTAAGTGATTGTTTTTTTCTTCATGATATCTTTGACATTGACTTTTTATATAAATATGAAATTTTTGCTCTATTTTTTGCTACACCTTCATGCTCAACCCGTTTATCATTTCCCCCAATGTTCGGCATCGCCCACCACATACACAGACACTTCTAACGACACCTTCCATCCCCACACCCCTTCTACTTGCCACATTGCTTTTCACCCGCATTTTACTTTGACATCCTTGAGATTTTAGCCCCTTTCCCACATAGTGAGAGGAGAGGTGGATGGAAAACGTGCAAGGGGAGTTAAACTTTGGAGAAGGGGAAAATTGGTTGCGTGTTACGTTCAGTAACCAGGGTTCGACCCCCTCCCCTGCGGAGAGAAAGATGGGGGAGGGGTTGGCGTTAAAGAAGGCAATAAACATATGAGATATGAGGGGTTTGAGACAACGAGGCGCATAAATTAAACAAGGCATGCTGCACGAAAAAATCAGCAAAACTTGAAAGAAAAAAAAGTCTAAGAAAAAGTTGTCGAAGGAAAAACTGAGCTAAAATAGGTCTCATATCTCTCAAAGAAGTCTCAGAAAAGTGTAGAACTCAAATCAATTGTAAAATTTTGAAAATAGTGCACTGTATTAGGAATATTTGGACAAATTTTAGAGAGGAAAACTAATCATTGTTTATTGTAAGCGTTTATAATCAATTAAAATTGGTTGTTTTGATACTTCATTCCGTTTTATACGATTATAATTGATTCTTTTTGGCTTTGTGGTTCTGAAAATAAAAATTCAATATAATCGATTAGTATCCATGAAGTTCCACTGCGTGGTGGTTCATTCAACTTCTCATCAATGTTTTCAAAACTCAATTTTGGTAAATTAGACAGAAGTGTGGAAATCAAGACTATAAATTGAAAAAAAAAATGCGTTTTTGTTGAACACAAAATCGAACACACTATATTGCATTTTTTTAAGAGTCCATCCCAAACTATTTGATGAAATGGAGGCTGATGCAAAAAGAGGAGGTGGTCTGCTTGGCGACCTGAAACGATCTGAAGGAGCTTTGGGTGAAATGAAACGTGACGGGTAAAATATACAATTTGGTTTTTTCTTTTATCTTAGAACAAAAATTCATAGACACTCGCAGTTTTTCCCACATAGTGAGAGGAGAGGTGGATGGAAAAGGTGCAAGGGGAGTTAAACTTTGGAGCAGGGGAAAATTGGTTGTGTGTTATGTTCAGTAACCAGGGTTCGACCCCTTCCCCTGCGAAGAGAAAGAGGGGGGAGGGGTTGGCGTTAAAGAGGGCAATAAACATATGAGATGTGAGGGATCTGAGACAGCGAGGCACATAATTTGAGCAAGGCATGCTGCACGAAAAAATCAGCAAAACTTGAAAGAAAAAAAGTTAAAGAAAAAGTTGTCGAAGGAAAAACTGAGCTAAAGTAGGTCTCATATCTTTCAAAGAAATCTCAAAAAAGTGTAAAGCTCAAATCAACTGTAAAATTTTGAAAACAGTGCACTGTATTAGGATTATTTGGACAAATTTTAGAGAGAAAAACTAATCATTGTTCATTGCAAGCGTTTATAATTATACGATTATAATTGATTCTTTTTGGCTTTGTGGTTACTGAAAATAAAAATTCAATAGAATCGAATAGTATCCATGAAACTCCGCTGCGTGGTGGTTTATTTAACTTCTCATCAATGTTTTCAAAACTTAATTTCGGTAAATTAGACAGAAGTTTGGAAATCAAGACAATAAATTGAAAAGAAAAAAATGCGTTTTTGTTGAACACAAAAGTGAACACACTATATTGCGTTTTCTTTTATTTTTTTTAGAGTCCATCCCAACCTATTTGATGAAATGGAGGCTGATGCGAAAAGAGGAGGTGGTCTGCTTGGCGACCTGAAACGATCTGAAGGAGCTTTGGGTGAAATGAAACGTGACGGGTAAAATATACAATTTGGTTTTCTCTTTTATCTTAGAACAAAAATTCATAGACACTCTCCCATTTTTTAAAAGTTCTCATCTCAATTGATTACAAACTACCCGTATTCAAAACAAACTTATCAGAACTAGACAGAAGTTTGGAAATCAAGGCTAAAAATTGAAGACTAACATTTACTACAAACACTAGCCGATTAATCGGTTGCGCGTTAATTTCGTATTTTTAGAGGGAACCTGTTTAAAGAATTCGCGACCGGAGGAAAACGCGGAGGTGGTCTCCTGGGAGAACTGAAAAGGGGGTAAATAAACGACTAGTTTTTTATACAAAACTTGGTATGTTTCGTATAATTTTAAGTCTGATCGAATCAATCACTTGAATTCAGTTGAGAAAAGCTGCTTGCCTTTTGCGACAAAATTTGGCACATCATTTACTTCATGTTTTAGAGAAAATCACGGAAATCTTTTTGATGAAATGGAGGCCGGAACGAAACGAGCAGGTGGATTCCTGGCTCTTATAAAACGAGGGGGTGGACTTCTGGCAAATTTCAAACGAGGAGATGGATTTGAAAAACGGTGAAAATTGCAATATTATTATTTGTTTGCAAGGAGGGCCCACAAAAAGTTCGTCGAAAAATTCCAAAAAATTCTATTTTTGAATTGCAAATTAGTCTCTCTGAAAAAGAATAAGAACAGTTTTTTGAATTGCAAATCAACGAAGCGTAATATTTGTTCATATAATGGAAACTTGCATGTTCTTTATAGGAAAATTGCAGAGAATAAAGTTAAACGATACTTCATGGGAATTCCTCCCAGTCCGAACAATGTCGCAAAAAAATTCGACTTGGGAATTCCTTCAGGTCCTGCTAAGCGATTCAACTTGCAAATACCCAGAAAACGATTTGACTTGGGAATGCCTGCAAAACGATTTGACTTGGGAATGCCTGCAAAACGATTTGACTTGGGAATGCCTGCAAAACGATTTGACTTGGGAATGCCCGAAACAAGGCGTTCATTCGGAGCTGGAAAAAAGAGAAATACCGCCAAAAAATTTGATTTGAACATGCCGTAGAAAAGGGCCACCGTTAACATTGAATTGATGGTCAAGTTAATTATGCTCAAGTAGCTACATTTCTAGTGTGTAACGGTAGCCATCACTAAGCTACTATGAAGACCAATGAATAAAAGCTGACCTAAGTAACTTGGTTCAAATTTAAGACCTGCTTTATTAAATCAAAAATATTATCGGTGATAGGTGTTGATATTGTTTGCATTCAAATTCCAGAAATCAAAATCATCGAAATACCAAGCTAAAATCTCTTATGTTGAGGAATTATAAGGCATTATGGTTGAGTTGCATAATCTGAGTGCTCTTTTAAAACATTCAATTTAATTTTCAGACTGAATAAATAATAAGCGAAGAGGGTCGTGAAATTTCGGAATTTTGTTTTAATAATATGGTTTAATAATAGGTTGTGAGTTGTCGAAAATTTTGTCGACCTTCTCAGGTCAGGTCGACCAGATTGATTTTCCTTCAGGTCGACCAGATTGATTTTCCGAGCTCTCCCAAATCCCCATAAAGACCGTATTTTGACTAAATTTTGTTCGCCTCATTTGATTTTCAAAAACAAAAAGGCCAAAAAAAGTTTTAAAGCTTTTTTTGGAAAGTTTTGACCAAACAATGCGTTTCTTAGGCGCGCAAAAAGGCATTAAAACGCAAAAATGCGCGCAAAAATAGCCTTAAAACGCCTTGTTCGGCCTGTTTTGGTCAGAATCTAATGCGGCGAACAAAACTTGGCCAAAACAAGGTCTTTATGGGGATTTGGGAGGGGTCGGAAAAACAATTTGGTCGACCTGAAAAAGGCTGACAAATAGTACCAAATAGTTGAATTGCTGAATTCAAAAAATAGTGGATTCACAAAATAGTCGAATCCCCCCAATCCCCCTCCCAAATCTACTATTGATTTGCTTTATGGTTGATGTCGCTTTACGAAACGAAATAAAGACGCTCTCAATTAACAAAAAAGAAAATGAGGCAAAAATAGAGACTACTTTATATTAAAAGTAGATTTAAGTTTTAAGTCTCGCCAACGGAATTTTAACAATTAATCTTTGTTGAGGTTTTTGGAATTGTTTTAGTTTTATTGAAAAAGTATGATCATAAAAGAAATTCGATTACTGAAAACAATCAGGTGATTTTTTTTTAAATGAGCTCATTTTTTTCCGACCACAATAATCAGAGCAACAAGAAAGAGTATTTCAAAAAAATTTATTATATTGTTGTTTGGGGAAAAAATGAGTCTGGACTCAATTCCAATATAGTCAGCTTTAAATTTCAGTTCATCTAAGGTTTACTGATAATTTCTGGTGGTAGTTGCGGAGTTAGCAGTGAGCCCTTTCCACTCTCTTTTTTTTTCGCTCTATCTCTCTCTCCTCTCTTTTTTTTCTTTCTCTCTCTCTCGCTCTCTCTCTCTCTCTTCTCTCTTTTTTTCTCTCTCTCTATCTCTCTTTCTCTCTAGTTTTCTCTCATTCCTCAGGGATTTGATCCTGATGTCGCCCAATGGTATTTTTATATAATATGCTCGTTTGCTTGACCAACGTAAATTTTCTGATACAGCTTAATTATACAGCCTGAAAGTTTTTTGTCGAATTCGTACAAAAAAAAGATCCCGATAGAGAATTTTAGCCCAATTTTTCTTGAAAAACATCTGCCTGGGATGCAGAAGTTTTTTGTAAAATTGGGGATTTTTGTAAGTTTGTTCCCAAGAAGCACGCAAAACAGTAACTCAGAAACTTTTATAATTCAGTATTTGGAGTCCAATTAAAATAGCTTTAAGTGTCCACACACACCAGCTTGACAAGACACTCAGGGCTATCCAGCCTGTTGAAGCTATGAGAAAAACCTTGTTTTACGAGCACCGTCCTCAATTCTTTAAAATTTAAATTCAACACTTTTACTTGCTCATTACCTTGAATTTTTCTCTTTCTTATGATCAAGCAAATAAAATACTGTCATCAAAAACGTTACAAAAAGAGGAGAAAAAAGAAACAGCACTGTTCGAAAAAATTCAAGAAAAAAATATCATTCTAGGGCCAAAACAAATTTGGTTCTTCAAAACATAAATATGAAAAAAAAACCCAGAAGCAACTATGCATATATTTTTCAAATCTCAGAAAGTTACACAACTCCTGTATTCTAAGTCAATAAGTTTCAATGGAATTTCCGTGTTAGCTCAATTTTTTTTTATTTTTCTGCGTACGCTCGGGTAACCGCGTGAGTCGTTGCTATCTAATTTTAACTTTTTCTATAACCAACATTTCTTCCTCGTTTTTTGCAATAAAACTGTTGGATCTACTTAACAATCTCCCCCCCCCCCCTATTGTACCTACTGAAGAATCTCCCCCCTTTCTTGAAAGGGGGAATTGTTAAGTAGATCCGTAGCTCAATCAAGAAACATGCTCAATTAAATAAGTTTCCAATTCTTGCTTGAGTTCTTCTTTTGAAAATTTTTCCGTCTTTTAATGAGCTGTCTTAATAAAGTGGTAATTATACTTTCAGTTGCCATAATTCGAAACAAAATGATGATATTTGTGTTGAGCTTACTGTTTGAGGTTTTAGGCTTTGAGTGAAAATTTTTTTTCATCTACTTTTAGAAACAGAAAAGTGAGGCTATACATTAAAAATTTACTAGTCTTTAGATAGATCTTACTACAAAAAAACGTTTTGTCTTATAACGATAAAAATTTTTTAATGACTGAACAGAAACCCGTACACGGCCAGCTGCCATAATAATGGTTTCACTTCGTGGTTCTTGTGTGCAAAGCAAAGAAAGAAGTTTGATTGTTCTCTGAATTATTTACCGTTACATATATCATAGAATCAGCTAGAAAAAACTACTATTTTTTTCATTCCTGTAGAAGATTCGCGAGTTAACTTCCTCCTTATTTAATCAAATTTACCAATTGTTTAGGCTGAATTTAATCGTCAAATTTTACAAAAATTATTATAACTTTGGAAATTTTGTTTGTAATGCGAAATTCTATAGAGAATTCTTACAGTTTTGGAGAATTAAAGCGTTTGTTCTTATTTCGCAGTTAAACTAAATTTGATTTCCGCAATCCCATTTTGTGTCAAATATAACGTCAAATAAATTAGAATCATGACCCAACAAGACCCGTTTTTTCGACTTTTAAAGTCCAGCGAGTGCAGTTTTGCGACTGAAATTCCGCGGTCGAGAAGCAAATTTGAGACGAGCACAAATTATACCCGATTTTGGCCGAAACATAAATCGAACACAGTAAAAAAACTACCCGATTTAGGACAAGCACAGTCAAAACACACCCAATTTCAAACAAAAAAGTCAAAGCATAGGTCATGCACAGTCAAAACATAGGTGGAGCACAGTCAAAATATCGGTAGAGCACAGTCGAAACATAGGTGGAGCACAGTCGAAACATAGGTCGAGCAATTCGTGCAAGAAAATAATCCATTCTAATCAATTGAAAACTGTTATACTTCATTCCATTATATCGATATCGTGTAGCTAGCCAGTTTTGATCGTTTATTGATGCAAATTGTAAATTCTTAGGTTTTTTCCAACAATTTCTCGAGTAAAATTGAATTTGTTTTCTTTTCTTGTTATTTTTGACTTTCGAAAAAAGTGATCAATAATTTTAGCTCGGGTAGTTTTTTGAACCAGAAAAAAATTGGCTTTTTAATCTATCTTCTTGGCCAAATTACGTGATAACAGACTAAGTTCAAATTTAAGCTCCTTTTTTGTGATCTAGAGAGTTGAAATAAACATTAACCTTTCCCATTGGAAGTCACGCGGCTTGAAACCGATCGCAGAATCATCATATAATTTTTGGAATTTTTTCTAATTGTCGAGAAAGTCGAGGCAATCAAAACATCCCCTTTTTGGTCGAGAGAATCAAAACATAAGTCAAGCACCTCCAACCGGGAGTCAAATCTAGATTTTTTTAGGGTCGACTCATATGTTAGATAGGGACAATTCAATTGTCAAACAACCTGAAACATGAGTCAAAAAGAGTCTAGTGAAGGGCCGAGCACGGTCAATTGATTGATAGAAATGAAAATTTTGCCAGATTTGTCGCTAGCAAAATTTTGAAACATGCAAATAACAGAAAACCCAAAATATATTTGTTGAATAAGTGCAGCTAGCAAGACAGGACCAGCATATACCAGCACGTTGCTAGAATGCTTACATATTATTTTATTCAAATTCATTCCAAGTAGTGCAAAAATCCAATATTATAAAAAATTTATCATTGAAAAAGCAACAATTTGAGCAAAGGCAGAATTTGTTTTTCCTGTGTAGTATGTATCCAGAAAAAAAATTGGATTATAAAAATATATACATTTTGAACTCTACTAGGTCACATTTCATACATTGTATTAACGTGCTTAAGGAACACATTCTAGGCTTGATAACAATCATTATAACATTATAACAATTGAATTATAACAATTGAATTATAACAATGACTCTACTTCGGCTGTGCGCCTTATGATCACAAAATGTTTTTCTAGAAACTACAACGCTTTTTTTGCAAAAGATTTCGTTAAATTAGTCGCAATCAATTAGATAATTATCTCTTATTTTATGCATTATGTTGTCGGTAAACTGTAAAATGAAAAATTCGATAAAAAAAACTTTTTGCGGTAGTTATAGGGAAATTTAAAGAGAGTTAAATGATTGCCGTTCTTGCACCGATGTTAGTTTTTTAGTATTCGTTTTTCGGGTTAATTTATATTGGATGTGAGAGGTTTGATTCTTCTAGTCCTAAGCCGATAAGTCCAAATCTTGAATTGAAATGAATTTGCTCATTTACATGTTCTTGTTTTATTACAATAATTTCAATATGTCATGCAATTCATTGGTTGAACAATTACCCAGTGTTTTTTTGTTAATGTTTTCACTTTTTGTGTGTTTTTCGAGTAAAAAGCTTTTTCAACAAAATTTTTTTTATAGTTGCAGATTCCTTGGAGCAGTTTTTGGCAATCAAAAATACTAAAAAAACTATTTGGATGTATTGATTTTAAAAGCTGCTTATAGGTTGCAGTGAGAACAGTTAAGCTGAGAAACTGTCGCATTTCATAAAACGGAAATGAATTGATTGCTTTTTTTCTTACCGTTTTAAAGTACGAGGTAAATATTTAATTGAAACTAATCCCTGGATAAGTTTTTTTTCGTTCTTATCAATTCAAGTTACGAGGTAAAACTTAAATTCAAACTAATCCCTTGTTAATTTCCCTCGTTTTTGTTACAGATAAAAATTTCAACTTTTTTTCAAG